AAAAAAGGGGAAGCATCATTCTTCCTAGCCTTGACCCTCAAATTTACTAAAGCTAAGCCGCTTGAACAAAGTGTTCTACCAGTCATGAGGGGCTTCGGGCTTCGGGAGCACCAGCAGCAGAAGCGAAAACGTCCAAAGCCCAAATGCTCGACGATACTCGAAGAGGAAACGCCCAAAGCCGACTATGAACAGGGAGTAAACACAGCTGCTGTTGAAGCCTTCAAACCCGTAGCTCTAAATAGGGTTTAGGGTTTAAACCCCAAGAACCAAAAGCCTCAGAAACACCTTACACACCCCCAAGCCCCAAACTCCTAATCTCTGAACTCTACGCCCCTAGACCCCTAAGCTCAGCGGCGGCAAAGGGCCTTTCCATAACTATACTCCTATTTCGCCGTTCTTGTTGGGTTAAATGCAGTTGCGGCTGTTTCTGAGATGTGAACCTGTTCAGCTTACAGCATTTTCTTATCTGTGTAGCCAAACACCCGTTCTCAAGTCATCAGCAGGAGCTACGAGTACCTCCCCCAAAATACGAGGTTTTCTGAAGCTTCTTGCTTAGGCTCCTAGATCCGTGAAAGCGTTACGTATGCATGTCAAGGGGTAACCCCTCTAAGGAAATCACCTGCGGGCGTTGGTAGTCTCAGTCGAGTGGCCCTTCCTCAGGTTGTAGGATGGTTCTTGTCGCTGCTAAATCTTTAAAGTATGCTGCTTCTCGGTGCTTTTGAAAGGACTCACCTCTGATTGGTAGCATTGATTACCTCTGACTGGACATTATTTCCACTGCTACTACGATGACAACTTCCCTTGACCCTTCCATTAGCTACTAGGACACTTCGTAATCTCGGGCTGACGAGCAGCATAGCATGTACTTCCCCAATGATCTAAGGCACCACAGTTTAAAGCTCCAGCAACCCCAAATCACGAGATGTTACAGCAGGAAAATCTTGGCAATCTGTGCACTGAAGAGGTTTTCACCCAATGATACCGTTTTTGTTTCCATGCCTCGTTCAAAGAACACCTGGAAAGAGGTAGTCAGTAGTCATGCGTGGGACTCTTCTACTCCGGCACATCCGTGGGCTTAGAGTTTCCACTCTTAGACCTGAACCGTTTGCAAGGTAGGGTGCCCCGCAGGACATAACTTAAACACGCGAAAGGACACAACTACTTCTTAGAAGTGTTGCTACGCTACAGTACATGCTGCATTATCAAAAGAAGAAATCTTCCACAACATCCTTAACTGAGGCTGCTTGCGAGCAATTCAGGCTGCGGGAATGAAGCCATGTGGACCATGAGATGACTTAACCCGACGGCAAACCCGCCTCTAGAACCCGAAACCCTAACATCTAAACTCTAGAACCCGAAACCCTAATCCCTAAACTCTAGAACCCGAACCCCGAAACGTTAGAACCCGAAACCCTTAACGTTAGAACCCGAAACCCCAAACCTCACCAGCCCCTGACCCAGACCCCTACACCTGAACCTATCCTTGGGGGTTTAGGGTTTAGGGTTTAGGTTTCTGCGCATCGGACAGTCCCCCCCCCCCTAGCATTATCCCAAGCCCTCTAAGGCCTAAAGCAGTTTTCAGGATCGCCCGTGTGATCTATCGTAGCCGTATGATAAACGCACTTTATAAACGCCTTTCACCCGGCCAAAAGCCCCCATGAAACAGCCTAATCCCTAAACCCTAAACCCTACTCCTTAAGCACCAAACCGTTGCTTAAGGGGTCGTCGGAGAAGGCTTCGGGGAAGCCTTGCTGTCAAACGCTGGGGGATCCCATTGACCCCGAGCACCCTCCGCCCATTTCAACAGGCTTCGTGTAGGAGCCCGAATAATTTGACGGGTATAGGGGCCTTATAATTATTAGAGTAGGGCTCTGAGGTATGATATACTATATATAGATAGTAAGGAGCCCCGAAAACAATATTATGGTAATTATTTAGGCTCCTATGTTAGGGTGTTGCGGTCTACATAATAGGAACCCTAGGGGAACTGTAGTCGAAAAGAGGGTCAGGCTGGGAGGGATGTAGGATTTCGATTTTGCGGTTGAATGCAAGGGGCACCACAAGGGTACGCTGAGGGCTGGAAAACGTGTTCCGATAAGGGTAGTTAAAAGGGTTACTAAGCGGCCTACTACAGCAAGAGGTTGCGGTAAGGATTCTGTCAGGCCTTTCGCAGGTGCTAAAAGAGTTTTCGAACCCCCACAGGGTTGCTCGGCAGGTTCTACAAGGCTTGCTTGAACCCTAAACCCTAAACCCTAAACGTTTGCTTTTTTTGTCAGGCGGGCTCGATGGTTTGCCTTCTTGGCTTTCGTGTTTCAGGCTCCCGGGTTCGGGCCTATTTATCTTTAGGGTCCTTAGCGCTGTGGGGATTGAGGTAAAGGTGCTTTCAAGCTGATGATGGTACAACGCACCCGCAATAAATGTACAGTCAAGGCGGGAAAAAACTGCGAAAGGCTGAGGCCTACTGCAAGGGAGCCACGAGGGCGTTATCAGGGTTTTCTTGCGGTGTTATGAGGCACGAGGGTTAAAGGGATTACGGCACGTTGTGTTCGCCAGTTGTAGTAGGGCCATAAGTACAGCAATCCATAATTTATAGGATATGGGCACTGCAAATACCTAAGGCCCTTGGCATCGAGCTTGGAGCTTACGGTTCAGGGCTTTGAGGTCTTAGGGTATTGGGCTTTCCTGGACCCCTCAAGTCTCCCCTCTTGGGGTTTAGGATTTAAGGCTTAGGGCTTAGGGAAGTTTAGGTGGTTTTCCACCATGGAAAACAAGTTGGAACTCTGTCCTAAAAGGAAGTTGGAGGGACTTGTGGTGTCTCGCGTTTTGGAATTTCCAGCATGGGATTCCGGTTTAAGGCTCGAACACCAATCTCTTCGCACAGTTTGTAATCTGCCAGTTTCAGAAAGGCAAGTCATGCATGGAACCCTCCCTAAACCCTACACCCTAAACCAGCCTAAACCTTAAACCCTACACAGGATGATCCTTGTTTGAGGATGTTTCACGAACCATGAAAACCAAGAGCCTATCATTACGGCATTTGCCTCAACGCATCACATGGAGTCCTGTCTACGCATAATGTAGGAGCCTGAATCATTACCAATACTATGTTGGGGGTTCCTTACTATAGCTACATAGTATTATATACCCCAAAACCTATTAAGGCCCCTACACCCGAAACCCCTTATAGTAGCCCTTATAGAACCCTGTAAGGAAACACTTTAAAGGAACCCCAAAACACCCCTATTTTCTCATTGTTAAGGCCCGTCTATTACATACTACAACCTAAACCCTAAACCCTAAACTCTAAGCCCTAAAGCCCTAAAGCCCTAAAGCCCTAAACCCTAAACGCTTTAGGGGTTTGGGTTTTAGGGGTTTAGAGGTTTAGGGGTTTAGAGCTTTAGGGGTTTAGGGGTTTAGGGTTTGGGGTTTAAGGTTACGGTTTAGGGTTTAGGGTTTCGGAAGAGCTTTTGGGGTCTCGGGCTTTCTGCATTTGTTCGGGGTTGTTTAGGGGAACCCCGGGGTTTTGGGCACCCGACCCGAACACCCAGCGATCCCCCAGCGCTTTGCTTAGATCCCGCTGTACTCAGATGCTGTCCTGCTGGGGCTTTGGGGTGCTGGTTTCTGAGAGGGCTTAGTTAGGGTTTAGGGGCGGGTTTCAGGTTTAGGGTTTGGGTTTAGGGCCTAGTTTAGGGTTCAGGTTGAGGGTTTAGGGTTTAGGGTTCAGTTTTAGGGCTTGAGGGTGTTGCATCTTTAATTTATGGCCTTTTTTGTAAGGCTTTCTTGACGAGCTTCGGGCTTCCACAGGGTTCCCTTTTTGTTTCTGATGCTTAGCTGCTTGCTTTGGGTGCTTGCTAGGTTTCTGGTGGGTTTCGGGTTTCCTGGCGTCAAACCAAACACTTAAAGTCAAAATGTAGGGGTTGCTGTAACTTCCTTCGCTCTGTTCGCTGTTGGGATTCGAAATACAAGGATGTGGACAGGATCTACGGTCGACTGTTTCTTTTGTGTGTGCGTGTATCTGTCTATCTATCTATCTATCTATCTGTCTATCTATCTATCTCTCTATGTATGTATGTATGTATGTATGTATGTATGTATGTATGTATGTATGTATGTATGTATGTATGTACGCATGCATGCATGCGTGCGTGTGTGTCTGTGTGTATGCGTGCGCATGTGACTGGCGCCCCTCATGTTAAACAAACCCACATGTGCAGTTCCGCACACATCCGCCGACACTCGCAAGGACGCGCGCACGGCACTAACGCTGCTCAGGCAACCGCGAGCCCTCCGGATTAGGGGTCAGAACAAAGAACGCCTGCGGACTCTCAACATAGAGCCCTGAAAAAGGTCAGAATGCAGACCAGCTAGACAATCCCAATGAAGACCTGAACCCTGATAAAGATAAACAGTGTGTTGGGGTTCGGCAGTTGTTCCTGAACAACAGAACGGCCTGCGAAACTGAAAATGCACAAGATGTGCTCTCTCTTTTCTCTCGGGCAAAGGGCTGCGAAGTGATAGTGCGAATGATCCGTCTGCACATGCCACAGGAGGCTCGACTGCACTTTACACGCCCCCTCAGGGCAATTCTGAAAGATTGGCCTGTTTTAGACCACTTCCATGCGGCCTCCTGTGCAGCACTGTCCAGGGTGAAGGCCTAGGTCCAAAGCTTCGGCAACTGTGCACTGCCGCGTCTGCTTGGCGCTGCCTCGGACATTTCGACAGGTGACCAAATGGAACGCATACCCTCTAGTCGGTGCATACAGCACCGTCTCGGTCAGGCTCATCACGAGTGCCTCACCCCCTTCACGAATTTCTGGGTCCTGCCGCGCTCCAGGTGCGATCACCAGCCGCCCACGCCGTGCCATTGGCTTCGCCTTCGCTGACTCCCTGGTAGAACTCGTTGGCACACCTGAGCGTACAGCCGGTCCAGGTGAACGTCCTGCCGAGAACTGCGACGCTCTATCGTCTCCACTGCTGCTTGGGACTTCAGATCCAAGCGCCTCTTGTGCCACACGTCTGGTTGTTGCGCCCCCTCGCTCCAACAATCTAGCTGAACGTGACTGCTGTCCTGTGCCATGAACTGGTTCTCGTGGTCCTTCATCTGGTTCTCGAGGTCCTTCGTCTGGTTCTCGTGGTCCTTCGTCTGGTTCTCGTGGTCCTTCGTCTGGTTCTCGAGGTCCTTCGTCTGGGTCTCGTGGTCCTTCGTCTGGTTCTCGTGGTCCTTCGTTTGGTTCTCGTCGTCCTTCGTTTGGTTCTCGTTGTCCTGGGCTCATCCTTGCTTTTGCGCGTCCGGTCCCGTACACCTTCTGCTGGGAAACCTTCGTAGCCGGCTCAAGCCCCTTGTTGTTGGACACTTCGAGCTTGAATGTCCACTGCAACTGGCTCCCAACAAACACCGCAGCAAGGATCACAACAAAAACCACGATGCACAGCATGATCCCGGGGTTGCCTGCGAACATGGCCATGACATACTCCAGGAAGAAAGCAAACTTCACAAGAGTGCTCTCAACCGCCGCTGCTGTCGCTTCGCCTTCGGCGCTGCACCCCTGAAGCTGCATTGCCACAAGCATCTGCGCCAGCCTCATCACACCACGCTGGCGGCCTCCTTGTCGGGCAGCGCGCTCCTCGAACTCGCATCGGCCAATTCGCTCGCCGCTTTCCCCGACCATGCCAAGGATAAACAGAAGCATTGCCAGTCTCCGCGCCGCCAGTACCTTCGTCCCCACATCTGCTGGGTTGACCTCCGTGGGGATGGCGGCGACCCGGAGCTCTTTTCGCGCCACCCAGCCTTGCAACCACAAACAAGAAGTTGCCAGGTGCTTCACCCGGCCCACACCGCTTCGTGCGGCTATGGCCCTGGCCACCGAACTGTCTGTACGGGCAACCAGATCCACATCAGCGTCCCTGGCGCCCTCGAGGAAAGCAAGGGCCTTCCGAAGGAGCACTGCTTCACCCACCGTCTGAGTGAGGGCCACCAGTTCGGCTTCCCCCGAGCTTGTTGTGACAACTTTCTGGGCTCGCACAAAGGAGAAAGCCAAAGCCCCATTCACGTACAACTGTCCTGAGCTGAGGCTCCGTCTGGTGGTCCGGTCGTTGGCAAAATTCGAATCGGACACTGCCTCGACCAAGTGCTTGGCCCCTTTGATGCGGGCTGGTGGCAAGTCGCCCCCTGGGCCTGACGGGTCCTCGGTGCGCATCACTGATCGTCCTCGACAGGGGCACAAATTGATGCCATGCCCTTGGGTGGCCCAAAAGTAGCCGGCCAAATGTTCCACCACCCGCTTCGAAGTCACCGTTGGGGAGCTCGCCCTCGACGCTAAATATTGTATCACCACCTGGGCATCCGGGCGCTCGTTGCTGATATAGAGGAGCTTGCCCACAATGGTGCGGAAGTCGGTGGCCTGCTTGGAATCCAGCAAGTCACTGTCGTCCACGCCAAACACCATATCTTGTGGGCCCGGGGTGCTCCTCGTCTTCGGCTTGCCGGCTAGCTCCCAGATATCATAATAGAACCGCAGAGCTGGCCTCACAGTGATGCTCCCATTTTCTTCGACACAGTACCTCCGCTTAAGAAACTCAAACTCATCACCAGGCTTGGAAAAAGGGCCTGCAATCTTGACTGTGTACTGCTCCTTGAGGTTGGCGTAGAGGGGCTCACCTAACTCGGCAACACCTGAAGACAACATGTCGTCGACATGAAGTTGCGCAGCAAACTGACCAGCCAGGTGTCGATACAGCGTGGGGGCCTCGAGCATGGGTTCAAGGTGGTTTGCCCTGAGGTCGCGGTTGAACTTGCTGTACCACTCTTGTGCTCCTCGGCGTTGCCCTGGGAGTACACGTCCCAGCCGCCACTGCTTGTGGGTGCCGTGGCGCTTGTACCACGAGGCTGGTGACGTGATCACCACCGGCTCGTCCTCTGGCTGCTCCACGGTGAGGTACGCGTCCTTGATGTCGAGCACATAGATGGGGGTGCCCCACATCATCGCCATCATTGGCACCAGGCGGCCCAATGCGGCCACCGATGCTGGTGCAAACGTCTCGTCCTCATCCATCTGGGTGGCCCATTTGTACTGGCGAGCCACCAAACGAGCTCGCCGAAACCAACCTTTATCATTCTTCTTCCAGGTGGTGGCAAAGGTAGTAGACAAGTGGTCGGCCGGCTCGCCACGGTCTGGAAGCAACACGCCCATCTGCTCCAAACGCTCTATCTCCGCTATCTCTGCTGCCTCGTCCAGCTCGGCAAGCTCTAGGGCGGCCAGGTCGGGCGGCATGTCATCGCCCATCTCGCCGTGGGGGCCGTCCTCCAGGATCTCGCCGACCACGGGCTTCATCTCATAGGTCACATCGTGCCACTCTGCGTCCACTGTCTCGACCAAGCGTATGCTAGGTCCGTCCCCGGGCTCCTCCGCATCGTCCTCCGGCTTCCGCTTGGTGCCCTGGGCGTGGCTGTCAGCCACAGGTGCTTGCTTGGGTCTAGCCACGGCTGCCAGCTCCCCCTCGGCCTTGCGCTTCACTCCGCTAGGGCTGGCCTCTGCTGCGGCCAAAAGCTCGTCTTCAGAGCTGCTCCCGGCACTGCTTGTTGGCGGGTCACTGCCTGCCTCATCACCCGCACCTGCTCCATGACGAGGTTCTGCAGGGGTAGGTGGTGCCAAAGACAAAGCCGGAGTCGCTGGAACACCTTGTGAGGCTCTCCCGGGGGTAGCTGGCGTAGGTGGGGCAATCAGCCCGGCAGGTTCCGTAAGCACTGGTGCGCCGATGGCAGTTGGAGCTTGCCTCCTCTTCGCCTGGCGCCTCTTCTCCACAATGCCATGCTCCCACGGGAGGCCAAACATCTCTTTCTCAATCTCAGCCGCGGTCATCTGCACCTCGGCGGTGCCACGCCGAACCGCATTGCACTCGATGTGGCCAAAGGTGCTCATCAGGCGGTGGGAGCCGTTGTGTGGGTTGATGCCACACCACACGCCCTTAATCCACTGCGCCTCGCCCTTGTACTTGCGGAGAACTCGGCCATACACTATCTCACCGAACTCGCACAGCTTTTGCTCAAACAGCTTGCCACCGTAGGCCAGTTCAAAGGGGGTCTTGTTGAGGCCAGGAAGAACATGAAAACGATTGTAAATAAATGCTGCGTGGCCCTGCACCCAAACTCGAAGGTGGCTCCCCACGCTGAGTTTCCCGGCTCGTTCCTCAAAGGCCTCGGCAAAACAGTTTCCCAGCCGGCGCACCGTCTGGATAGCACGCTCAGCTGCTCCATTGGCAGCGTGGTCCCCAACAGGGGTTGTGCGCTGATTGGTGCGCTTCCCTAGCCGCTGCCGGGCTGCAGCCACACTTCTAACCAGGGACTTCACGCTGGGCTCGCCGTCGGACTGCATGGTGATGGTCTCCTCCCCGTGCAAGCTGACCGTAAACCTGGTGAGCTCCTCGGCGGCCTGCCTTAGCATTCCAGGGCCCTTGTCTGGCCCCGGCGCGGAAAGCACCATGCGAGTCTGGAGGTCCACCGCAATCAGGTTGGTGGACTCCTGGTGTGCGTCCGGGTTGGGCCGGCTCTCTGTGTCCACCTTGGTATAGTAGAAGTCCACCTGCACCACCGGCACCACATTGTCGTGAGCATTGCGGCGGTGGTGGTCGTCCCGGCTCCGTGTCTTCACACAAGACGCACACCACGAGGCAAAAGGAACGTGGGTGAGGCGATGTCGGGCCTGCGCGTCGGCATCAGGAACTGCGTCCGGCGCCCGCTCCTCATGTGGGAGTCTCGCTGTGTCCTCCTCCGCGGCCTTGGCCGCCCACGTCCCGATATAGGACTCCAGCTCCTCTTGTGTAAGGCCCGCCGGTGGTGCACCCATGACCTCGTCATCCTCATCTGGCTCGCCTTGGGTCGCGGCTGGCTGCTGCACTTGCCCGCTGCTGCTTGCTTGTCCTGCGTCTGCGGCCTGGCTGCCATCCTCCATGTAGTCGCCCGGCCTCCCAAGAAACAGCCTCGGTGGGGAAGCCGGCGATGGCTCATAGCGGCCTCGTTCCGAAGCCTTGGGTTCCAAGCCACCAGGAAAGCAAGCATCGTCGAACGGGGTCATGTTGAAAAGAGTGACCCTCGCCACCGGCTCCCGCGAGACCATGCCGTAAGGATTATCCTCATAGGAATAATCCGAGCTGTTCTCCACCTGCAGCCACCTATTGCGATCGGTCTGCAGGAAGGTGGTTCGGCAGCACCAATAGTCTGCGTCGTACCAGTCCCGGCCATCCAAAAGGGTCGTGGCTGCCGAAGAAAAGTGCATCTTCCAACCATTGGCCAGGCTGTGCATGCCCTCCTGGCCCACTTTGCTCAGCACATCCTCGGGCAGCTCAATGGCTGGCACTCGTGCTGGCAACGACCTAGGGATCTCGGTCAACGCTCGCACGTGTCCTCGCACCACAAGGCTGTGGTTACGATAGCCCACTGGGGTCCTCCTGCCGAACGGCTCCTCGAGCAAAAGGTCTCCAGGGCTGGCACCAGTTTTCAACTGCCAGCCTTTGCGAAGAAGCTTCCCAACGGCCAACAGGGGGCACCGGACGGGGCCCACAACGCAACTTTCCCGAATGAGGTAGCGTTGGCCGGCCTCGTCCTCCAACATGAACTCGCACTTTCGCACCCCCCTGCTGGCGATATGGTTGCCCTGCGCATCCGCGAGCTGTGGGGCACTCGCGTCAAGCTCTTCCTCCCCGAGGTGGCCAAAGGACTCGGGGATCATAGAGGCGTCGGCCCCCGAATCCAAAATGATCTCGCACTCCTTGCCCTCCGTGGCCGCGCCGCCCGGGGAGAGGCACGCCCCTTTGTACTTTAGCACCGTCACGGCCCGCACGGCATACTCAATGTTGATCTCGTCGCCGGGGTCGCTGGCCATATCATAGACCTCTAGGATCGGTGCCGTTGGTGGGGTGACCATCCTCACCAAGCGCACTCCTTTGTTGTGCTGCCCGGCCGAACTCACCGAAGGGGGTGCCGTGGAGCTTGTAGTAGACGCCGAGGACGGTGGCACCGGAGTCTGGGGGTCGCTCTGCTCTTGCACTTGCCGAACTTTGTTGCCTTTGCCTTTGCCCTTGGGGTTGGCACCGGCACTCCAGCAATCTCGGGCAAAATGCCCGCGCTTTCCACAAACATAGCATTCTTGGGTGGTCTTGGTGGTTCCACCCTTTCCTTTGCCCTTCTTGCCCTTGGTGCCTTTGCCTTTGCTCGCGTCCTTCCCGTCGGGGTTGGCACCTTTCTTGCCCTTGCCCTTCTTGCCGCCCTTCTCCACACGATCCACCTCCATAGGTGTAGCGGTGTCGCCGGTGTGCAGGGAGGGCATCGCCAAAGAAGTGCCCGACTGCCACCTCGCCGTGGACCGCTCATACAGGAGGATCTTGTCCCGAACCTGCAGGTACGTGGTGTCGGGGCCCAACGACATGTGAAGTTGAGCCTGAAGCGCGGCCGGTGCAGCAGAAACCAGCGTGCTGATCATCAGATCCTCGGCGTACCTTGTCCCGGCCACCCGCTCATACTCCCTGATAAGCTCTTCGTATTTTCCCAATTGTTCACTCAGCGAGCGGCGGGGGTCCAGGCGAGTACTTGTCAACTGGGTAACCAAGGCCAGCTGACGCTGTCTGCTGCTCGGCATCATCTCCACCATTAGTTGGCGCCACGCTTCGTACCCGTTCTGCTGCGGAACGGTCCGAACGAGTTTCGCTGGGCGGTTCCGGACGAAGGAGAG